ATCAAGTACAACTGCTCCTTCTACAACAATCTCCAACCCAGCAACGCCGACAGCTACAACAACCACTGCCCATACTACAACAACCAGTGCACAAACTTCAACAACCACTGGCCCAACTACAGCAACAACCACCGCCACAACTTCAACAACCATTAACCCAATGACTACAACTACTGCACCAACTACAACAACCACTGGCCCAACTTCAACAACCACTGGACCAACTTCAACAACCACTGGCCAAACTACAACAACCACTGAAACAACAACAACCAATGCCCCAACTACAACAACCACTATCCCAATCACAGCAACTTCATCAACTACAACAATCAATTTGCCAACAACAACAACAACTTCCCCAACTTCAACTACTGTCCCAATTACAGCAGCTGCCCAAACGACAACTACAACTGCTCCACCTACAACAATCTCCAACCCAGCAACGCAGGAAGCTACAACTTCAACCACTGCCAATGACGCCTGTTGTGTCAGAATGGGAATGCTRCATCTGCTGATTGGACTCCTTGTTTTCATCCTATTTTAGAGCTCAGAACAAAAATGGATGAACCTGGAAGGACTCTGAGAGAACCTTTAGAAGTCTGGTCTGTGGTTTATCTTTGACTGGTAGTTACACAGGTTACAAAATAAATACTTAGGCAAAAGGGGGAAGTGTCTGAGTGAAGTGAGTGAAGTCGGCACCAATGAAATACAGACACGCACACACAACTTTAACTTAACTTTAATCTAATTTATTAGCCTTAATTTAAGTGGAACATAAATAGTTTCACACATATTAATACCAATGTTACTCAGTACAGGTACAAGATTCTAATCATATTCACAGCCAGTGACAGTTTTCTTACAATTAGTGTTAGTTCCTGGTTACAAGGCACAAAGCAGTGCCCTCTGAAGACAAAACAAATCTTCACGATTACATTTACACAAACATGTATTGTGTCTTAAGATACCAGGGAAAATATTATTACTTTAATATACGGCTACACATTGTAAGACCAACGGAGGAAATCTGTATTTTTTTATCAGCAAAGTTCTTGGCAGACTTTACTCATGGCGAAAATGTAGGAAAATACTTGTTGTGGTTACTCTTTTGTATATGACACAAATTGTGCTTTCACATTTGATGAAGGCCACAAAAGATGGAAATGATGATAAATGTGTGTTATTACACAAAAGAAGAAAA